TTCGCTTTAGCTTCTCAGCCTCAGGTTCGACCATGCTACTTTTTCTTCTTCTTTATCATATTTATTAATTTGTTGATTAACTCACGCGCCACTTAAATCAAAATCTGTACTTTAACTCTGCTTTGAAATTGGAATATTCTTATCAAATGACTCTCCTGCTAAAACCCTATTCGCGGTTCTATTCCGCGTTTTGTTATTGTTTTTTGTTTTTACTAGTAATTTGAATAAACTTGTTCTCATGAGATCATGATACTGCTGGCCTATGTTTATTTGGTTAGGAATTGAATGTGATGAATTTCCCTCTTTTTTAGTTCCTTATTGTTTTATTTCACTCCATAGTAATGCTCAATTGGGTCGTTAATTGGTCATTGCTTCTTTTTTTTTTTTATCTTATGCGTCATAATCAACAGATAACTTATCATTGAATTTTGACTTTGTTGGGTTCTATTTTGTTATGAAGGAAAACTTGAGCCATTCTGAGACTGAGAGTTCTGAGGACGATCAAGATGCGCCTCTACAAATGAACATGTCATGGACAACTGTTTCAACCCCAGGAGGAGGTGGAAGTGCATCGGGTGGTGGCACCAGGGCTGGACTTTTCAGAACTCCTATTTCTGGTGGCGTGCAGAGTGCCACATCGGCTCACGGTTTACCTAGACCTGCTTTAGCAGTTCGTAACCTGATGGAGCAGGTAAGCTGCTTGTGTTATTTCTGGTAAAAGCTAAATGAATATTTGTGTATTCTGCTGTGTAGAACTGAATTTTGCGCAGTTACAATCACGGATCCCCTTTATTAATTTTCTGTTGCCTTTTCGGTCTGTAATTCAAGGCAAGATTTGCTCACTTGTGCACTGTAATGTCTCGTATGCACCACCGACGAGAAGGATATCCATTTGGTTCTCTAGTTGATTTTGCACCAGATTCGATGGGCCGTAAGTCAATAATTCTTCATTTTCTTGATTAGTTACTTCCGTTCAGTCATGAATATTTGATGCACTCATGGATTTCAGTGTCTAGTTGTGTATCCATGGAGATGGGAGTTCTTCCCAAGGTACATGTCTGATACTATCATGATAATAAGCATTTGGTAGACTCAGCTAAATTGATGGGGTCAGGATAATTAAATTGTTGTAAATTGGGCATGCGTTACTGAGGATTTCAATCTAGTATTGGTCCTTGCTGAGAAAAGAGAGAGAATGTGATAAAATAGGGTGACCAAGCACCTTACAAACAGGGTAACCCTCTGATAATAATAATAATAGCAATATATCATAGAAGAAAGCAGGAAGATAACTATGGAGATTGTGCAGCTGAACTGAACAGAATGCTTCAGCCCACCCGAACTTTTCCACCTCACTCAATTCTTACCTTTGTCCTAAATTCTTCTTCACCCTCTTTACCTCTTGGCCCACAGTTCAGGTATCACCACTCAACATGTGGCAATTTTCTGTTTCCTTACAAAATTCCTGCCCTTTATCTATGTTTATAAACCATACTACTCATAAACGGTTGAAGGCATTTGTTCATCCACTTGTTGTTGAAATGTTCGTATTTAATGTCTATTATAGCATATCAAGTATAAACTAACATAGAACCAGAAAGTTATAGTTAGGTGTAATTTTGAATTAGCTTAAAATGACCATATTGTGTGCCATGCAAGATAAAAAGTTATAATGGAAAGCTAACGATTCATACTTGGCCTTTATATGTTGGCAGTAGACCTTATTTAGCTAAGCAAATATTTAGGTTGGATTAAAAATTAAAAGAAATCAAAACAACCATTTCATACCACCAGTTTTCTGAACCAGCTGGTCTGTTGTTTACAATCAATGACTCCTCCCCCTGGAATTTTCTCTGCAGTGGGCCTTTTTCCATTTT